GGCCCTGCTCGAACCCTCAGACATTGAGGCGTCCGACCATCCGAGGATCGCAACTTGGCCCAGGTCACTGGGTATTGCCATTGCCATTATCCCACTTGCGCCATCGACACTGGAGCGGTTTTTGGCTTCATCACGAGGTCTCACTGTGCTCAGGCCTCGTCAAGACCTAGTGCATTCCAGCCAAGAGGGATTCGAATCAAATGCCTCTGTACTCCTTACTGAAGAGATACACGCTGGTTTCCGCCGTTGTAACCTGCAAAGCGCTGCCGTCGGTCAAGCGCCTGGGGTCATGCAGATAGCTGTTGGCATTTGCAATTGCGTTTGTTCCCTCGAGAAAACGAATTTGTGTCATGCACACACAAAAGTCGATGTATCCAACATGGTTCGACAAAACGACAAACGTCCCCACGTTGACGTCTTTGTGCCAGGAGTACAAAAGTGAGACGGGCGTTCATGACCTGGATATGGCTAAAGATCAGAGACCATCAAAGACCAAGAAACCTGAAGATCACTGGGTATCTCACTCCTCTGACCGTCATTCCTCCACCCATCGATTCTTGGGTTCCCCATTTAGTACCCTTGGCTGGGTAAGTATGTGTCGTCTCGTCACTTGCGCCAGTAATGTTTTGTGCTGGCACTGTCGGATGCGAATGCGCCAACACAGGCATGCTTTCATTGGCACAACATCCGCGACGAGCTTGTCTCGCTTTCTCTTCGTCCAATGTATCGTGGCATTCCGGGATTACAACCTCCACTTCCCCAGGACCGCCACGACCGCCTTTACCAGCCGGACGCATTTCGTATACTCGTCTGTCTGGCTACAGTGTTGGACGAGTGTCCCCCACACAGTCTCTCACTACCTCCTTGCGGTAACGGACAGTCCACGCTCATTCTCAAGTCCGTTCCGGTGGCCTCGTTCACTAGACACTGGCATGCATTCATTTATTGTGCAGGTCTTCGATTCACCTGGTTGTCGTACCCGCGCGTCCGCGGCCGGGACGAATTGGTTCTTGCGAGAGCTTTTGTCCCTGCTGAGACCGTCGTCGTCTCTGGGCCATGGCTTACTGCCCGAGTGACGTTGGCCAATATCCCTCGAATGGCCTTATCTTGCTTTGCCCCGGATCATCCTCCATGTCTCTTGTTTATTATCCCGGCCGCCGCTACGGACGGCGTGGAGGGCTACTCAATCGCTGCTCGCTCTCAGTCCGTGCTTGAGGCTTTGAGCTCTGTCTATCCCTTGTGTTCCGGGGAGGGTGAATCCAACTTGAGGTCAATGTCTCTCTATTCTGCCTTTGGAGTTTGCCCTTGAACATCATGTGTATCTGTAATGAGGAAGCCCCCCCAATCTTCCCGCCTCCGCATCTCCTCACTGCGCCTAGTTGGCTCCTTGCGGATTCCATCTTTGCTTCGATGACCTTTTCCGGGTGCTGTTAGCCAATCAATCGAACACTCGCCGGACGCCGCATTCGCCGCCTCGCCGTTTTGTGTCTTGTTCTCGTTCAATTATACATGCCTGAATTTGGATGTAGGAGTTCCAATCCACGAGGCACAGATATTTAGACATTATGCATCCCCCTCACGGCCCCTTTCCCTAGCCAAGTTTCCCCTCCCTTCATTATTATCATCATCACCACGACCGGTATCACCATCACCAGCATCATCGCATTGCTGGACAAGCCCCGACGAATAGACATTGAGGTAGGTACCGGTGTGTTTGTTGCTCGCTGTCTCCTGCACCTTGGATCTCTTCTACTCCGATACCCTACCACTTCCACCCCAGTTGTCGGTCTGGCTGCACGCTGCCACACTTGCATCTCTGGTGTGTGCATTGGCTTGCAGGGGTCTGATAAACGCTTGCGCAGCGCAGCATAGCGTTGCGTTGCGTTGCGCCCCTACTTTGTTACTGTACACCTGCGCCTCTTTCTCTCTTGCTGTCTCCCTCTCTCTTTCGCACAGCTTCTGTACTTTCCACTGCCCTGAATTTCCTCGGTATTATACATACCTGCCTCCTTTACGACCCCGATATATACCGGTATATTCACCCTGTACTTGCATCCGTCATTCCGGCCACTCTGCCTACCTGACGTAAAGCCTGCGTGCGTACGTCCATTTACTGCTACCCATCCACCTCCACGTATCTCGTCCTTGCTAAGTGGCTACAAGACTGAGAGAGAGAGAGTCGTTGTCCCACTTGCTCCAAGGTATTCCGAGATAGACCACGGTAGGTAGGCACTTGATGGGATACAAGAGTACGTATCGCTAGGTCCATCTGTTTGTAAGGAACTACCTTGTACGTGAAGTAAGTCAAACCCCCCACTTCCCGGCACCCCCCTGTTTCTGGCACCCACAAAAACGCGAAAATCCACCACAACGCAATGCCCACCCCCAACCTCCTTTTATCACAACATTTTCAATTCGAGTCCAAATGGGCTCATTTTTTGCACATACCTTCTTCTATATCTAATGCCTCAATATACCGAAGATCAGCTTCGTCAGGCTCTCGAGGACATCTCAAACGGCAAGAGTCAAAGAGGGAGTATGGGATACCACGATCAACCCTCCAACTACGTCTCCAAGGTGGTCAGACTAGGAAAGTGGCTTTGCTGACTGGCAGAGGCTGTCTCCTGACCAGGAGAGTAAGCTGGCACAATGGGTTCGCATTCAGGCTTCGCTGGGCCTCGCGCAACGCACCAACAGGTGAAGGAATTCGCAGAGCGAGTTCTGGCTGCTGCTGGATACCAAACCATTAGGAAAAGGCTGGATCTATGCCTTCGTGAGAAGGAACCCTATCATTAAGGTTCAGAGAAGTCGTTCCATCGATTCTAGACGCGTTAATGGGGCATCTACTGAGGTCATTAGGAACTGGTTTAAGTTCCTTGCTATCCCTGAGATCAAGGACATCAAACCAGCCAACAGATATAATATGGATGAGACTGGCATCCTCGAGGGTCAGGGAGCTAATGGGTTAGTGCTGGGCATGGCTGAGACGACGTCTGTTCGCAAGAAACAACCTGGGTCGAGGGCATGGGTCTCTATCATTGAGTGTATCTCAGCCTTGGGTAGGGCACTTCGTCCTCTTATCATTTTCAAGGGAAGACGGTCCAACAACAGTGGTTTCCATTACATCTGGTTCCATACGATGGGTGGGAGTTTACAGCAACAGATAATGGCTGGACTACAGACTTAACTGCCATTGAATGGTTAGAGAGGTGTTTATCCCACAGACTATGCCCGAGGCTGAGGGCGAGGCTCGACTGTTGATTGTGGATGGGCATGGAGTCATACGACGACAGACTTCATGTGGAATTGCTATATTAACAATATCCATTTACTGTTCTTACCACCACACTCCTCTCATGTCCTCCAGCCACTTGACCAGTCTGTCTTCAGCCCTGTTAAGTCAGCCTATCGGAAGGAGCTCGGTTACTTGTCTCAATGGAACGACTCTACCATTATAGGTAAAAGGAACTTCCTGGACTGTTACCAGAAGGCTCGACTTGCTGGTCTATCAGTCTCGAACATCAGAAGTGGTTGGAAGTGGACTGGTCTACACCCTGTAGCGATGGTTAAGCCCTGATGAACCCTATGGTATTACCTGAGCCTTCTGCTAAGCCACACCCAAACCAACCAGTCGGGGCAAAAGCGATGCCATAATGGTCAACAAACTACCCCTGTTGAGCCATGGGTTCTGCTTCCTCTGCAGTGGTCTGGTCGACACCCAGGAAGCTGGCAGAGCTCAGCGGTCAACTGCACTATACACCCAACTCGACAATGATACCAGCACTCAACGGCTGCTGTTCAGGAAGGTGAAAAAAGGCTTCACAGAGCAGGCCTGGCAACTGGCAGCTGCCCAGCAGCAGCTGGCTCACCTGAGGGCTCAAGTTACCAACGCTGCAGTTAGGAAGAGGAAGACTGTTCAGATCGATCCCAACACGAAGTTTGCGAACATCAGGGATATCCATCGGGCTCAAATCGAAGCGGGTGAAAAGGAGGTTATTACGGCTGAATCCAGCGACTCTGAATGCCCTAGTGAGGCTGGCAGTTGTATTGTAGTGGGTGTGGTTGAGGATCAATAGTTAATAGTAATGAGGAGGTTGGGTTGTGATCCCATCGTTTTTGTGGGTGCCAGAAACAGGGGGGTGCCAGGAAGTGGGGGGTTTGACTTACTCGGTGGCGTGCCGAACTATGGCAAAGTACCTCTTTTCGCATCGCAACAGCACCGCACATTCACCTGTTTTGCTTGTTGCTTTCCTGTTGCTAATGGTAGTGCCCTGATCCCTCCTCCCCAGTCCACGTCCACGTCGCAGTCCCATCCACATTGTTCATCCCCGGGCCCCAGAGCATCTCGCAAGTCTCCAGATGTTTCTCTTCAGGTTCCTGCTGCCCTTCTCTTCGTCACTTTCCCCAGCTTCCCCGGCGTATGTATGTCTGTCTGTTCATATGGTTCCACAGAGTGAGGTTCAATTCTGTCTGGTGAAGCCTTCATCTCCCTCTATCTCAATCAACCATCACTCTAATTACTATCCGTACTCTCTCTCTCTCCATCTCCGAGTCTCCAACAGTGACTGCTTGCCTTCAAGCCCGGGGCCAGTCATCGCTACTTCTCCACGCAGACGAGGACTCCCCCTGCCACCCCTTGGACTCCTTGCCCACCATCACCCTTGCTTGCACCATCGAGGCCTTTCCTGAATAACCAGACGCAAAGGCAAAAAAGAAAAAACCGTGTCTGCCACACACACCCCGGAGCGTCGTCTCCCACGCCCCTCACTCTCAGAGTCTTCTCTTCTCCCTCCTCGCTCTGCCTTTCTGCATTCTGACCCCCTCCTCATTGACTTGGACCCCCCCCCCCCTTTCATCTTCCATCTTTCCAGGACCTAATACGTCTGCGCCTCTAGCGTACATTACGGATACCGGTACCTCCTCGTCTTCACGCCCCCCTCCTCGGTCCACATCCTGCCCTGACCTGGCGTACGTCTGCGTGAGTGGTGTCCGTACCTATGGACTCCCACTCTTTCTCCTACCTTTTTCCCTCTCTCTCCTCCTAACCCACTGATAGACTCCACTGGGGCGGGCAAAAGAACGAGACCTGCAATCAGCTTCTGGGGCTCGAACGTGCCGGTTGTCGTTCCAGTTTCTCGATCCGCTTCCCTACCCAGTATTTTACTTTTTTACCTTTTTTTCTCTTTCCCTACCCTGTCTCTGGCTATCCAGCAGCCCAAATTCTCCATAGGATTACATTTACCTACCCTTTTCCATCCGTCCACCCATACCTTCTTCCCTTCACACCTCGGGTGTTCTTCTTGTCCTCACTCTCCACCTACCCGACTCGAGACTCGAGCAAATATACAAACCACCTCCCTCCCGCTTCCTCCCGCTGCCGTCCGCGACTCGCCTGGTTTTTCACGTTCTCGTTTGTGTTTTCAAACTTGCAGCGACATCATCTACTTCAGCCATCGTCTCTTCTCGAAACCATCGTCACTGACCCTCACGCGTGTGTACCCTCAGTCCAAGCCAGCGCCAGCCAATTTTGCTCTTCCGTTTCGCCCTACCTGATCTACGACTCCTCCGCCTTTTCCACTGGCGAATCCCCCGCGCATCGCTCCAGTCACCGCCTTTGTTTCTTGGGACGCCACCGCGCTAGGTCCTGAGCCACCAAAAACCTGCACGGTACAACCAACGGCCTGGTGTGGGAGGAATAAGAAAAAGGGACCGTCATCCTCCCGGACAAAACAGCCCCCTCTCCGTCCTGCGTAGCTGTCGCTCCGATTACCGACTCTTTGGTCCACGATCTACGACCTGCTGCTATCACCTCCATCTTATCCACCTACAACAGCAATAACGAAACCAACACCAACACCACATCTGACGACCTCAGCTTCCCCTTGGATACTTATGATCGATCTTGCTCGCCTCTGTACTGAATTAGCGGCGACCAGGAACTAACGTTCCTCAATTTCGCCCAAAAACCTCTACGATGGCAGTCGTTTTATCTTCAGAGGAGAATACCTACTTCTCCTCGTCTAACCTGCGACGTTCGCACTCACAACCAAAGTTCGTCACAAAACAAGCGAGCTTCCACTCTACTCCCGCCCCTAGCCATATCAGCGATGTTTTCGCGGACGCGAAGGTGTATCCCGACTCAGCACCGTCTTCTGCCCCCTCATCTCCCAGGACCATTCACGCCGAGTCTACCGACCTCTCTTGCTCCTCAACACCGGCCAGCAATGTCTCCATTGCATCCGACTGCGACGACACGTTAGAACTCGCAGTGCACGCCAACGACCACTTTGTCATCCCTCACTATGGAGAGTCTGGCTACTTTGACCAGGTTGAAGACCTTGAAGCACCAACAAGTCCCCGGACTGGAGACTCGTACACTGTCTCACCTGTCGACAACGACACCGAAGGAAACACATCAAGGCCCAACACACCAGAGTTCATTTTGGATGTAGAACATGCTGAAGACGATACCGCTGTTCGAGCACAACCCTCGCGTCACGTTGACTATCTCTCGCACAACTGGAAAGAGGAGGATATCTGGTCATCATGGAAGTTCATTGTGTCCCGGAGATCCGAATACAGCAACGCGGCTCGCTTAGAAAACGCATCTTGGAGGACCTGGATGAAGGCGAAGAACCACCTGAAAACCGTCTCCCCCGAGACCCTGAACTGGTAGGTGCCGTGGAAGCGTAAATCAGTCCAAACTAACTTCCTGGCAGGCTCAAGGACTGTGATGTCACCTGGCTCTATGGACCCTTGCAGACGGGTCCAAACACTTTGAACCCCATCACCACCGACCCCAACAGTGCTAGGCTTACCAAGAACAACTCGTTTGTCAACAAGAAGCCAATCCTCAAGAAGAGGAGTATGTCGGAAGTCATGCTGCAGAGGTCGTTATCCGCGTCCTCTCTGCTAAAGCAGGCTGCCGCGGCAGTCCAGGCTCAAGAAAAGGACGGACGCAGACGTCTTGCCCGACCAACACTGGAGCGAGCCACCACAGACTACGTCACGTTTCCATTTTCATCGAGGAGGCTGAGCCGTGAGAGCTCCAACCTGTGCCCGTCAAGTACATCATCCGGCATCATCTCGCCGTGCAGTGAAAAGAAGCACATTCATTTCAACGAGCAGGTGTCTCAATGTATCGCAGTTGACATCAAGGGCGAAGATGACGATGATGACGCCGACACCGAGCGCTACGACAACAGCGATTCTGACGAAGGAGCTATCATGATGAAGAGATCACGAACAAAGAAGAAGGCACCCTTGCTCAGAAGGAAGTCGTCCAAGGCTGCCGCGGCTGTCGAGGGCAAGACGATTGCGATGTTGCCATCAACCACTCTCAAGTACCGCGAAGATACTCCCGAGCCACAAGAAACAGCAATGAAGCACAGCACATCGTACAGAAGCCCCATCATGTCACCATCCTCTTCCCAAGAAACCCTTCGACCCTCCAAGGGCTCCGGCAAGTTTTTCTTCGACGATGATGACGATGAAGAGGAGGAGGCCGTTTCCATGGGTTGGCAGTCACCGACAAAAACCGACGACAAGTCTACAGGCTTACAACGATCATCGTCCACCAACAGTCTGAACGCCGAACCAGCTGGCATGCGTCGGACCTCGTCAGGTATGTTCATGCCATATGAAGAGGGGGAATCATCTTCCAACGAAGGAATCATCGGCCGGGTCATTGATACAGTTAATACAGCCCGGGATATTGCTCATGTCATTTGGAATGTGGGCTGGAGGAAGTAAAGAGCTCAGTCAAGATGGTTGGGAGCTCGGATTTTTCTTGCTCGACTCCAGCGAAACTCAATCGGCACGTCGTTCTTGGTAGTCGGTGTACGATACGGAGAACAGCAGACGCATCTATCCCCATGCATCTGCGAGAAGTTTGTGGGATTTCATCTCTTGAAGCATTCACGAGGATGTAATCAGGTCAACGCAAATGGCCCAAGGACGATTTTGGTCTAATCACATCATCACACACGGGGAGCATCATCATGCAGCGAGTCGACGGCTCCATCACATTTGGTCGCGAGTCCCATAAGGAATGACACATGGTGGGATACCGGCGCTTAGGCCTGCGAATCATGGTAATGGAATGGTCAATGCCCTCACTATCATGGCAACAAGGAATGTTGCGTGGGGGTTTAATGACGATACACGGAATATGCTTGTAACAATCATTTTTGGGGAAATATTGGGTACCAGTTGGTCTTCACCAACAAGGCCTGGCACGCGAATTGGGTCCAGGTATTGGGTTTCAGCAATGGCGCAATGGGGGAAAGATGGACGGGAAACAAAAGAAAATGGCTCGTTTCACAATAAGAGTTGGCTGGGTCTCATCAGAGTGGTGCAGTCGGGTTAGGCGTGCTTCTGGCACTCGTAACTTGCGCCGTGGGAAGAGGTGGAATTTTGGGGGCCGCGGTATAGCTCCGAACTTGACGTCGAGTCCGCAATGCTGGTCTTGTCCATATCGGGCTCGGCGTGCCTTGCGTGGAGATGTCGAGCATTCTTGGCGGCTTCGGCTTGCAGGAAGCAAAACCCCCCAATAGGTATCAAGGGATGATGCAGCGGGAAAGTGGCGTACAATCGTGTATCACCGATTGGAAACGAAACACACCTGGATGAGACCCGGACCCAATGTATATAGAAAGGTGGGAAAAGGCTCGAGCAAATGAACTCGCCGTGGCAAAGGTGCCAAAATTCACACGATTTAACACTATTTGTTCTCGTCTCTCGTGGTGATTTTTTACATGCTCACATCATGACCGTGAGAGTGGTTGTACTTGTGCTTGTTCATTCGTACCTGTCCCGGCCGTTAACCTCGTGGTTTACGTGTATCATTACGCCAAATGTCTCCCAGTCTCTCCAATGTCTCAGTATAGTTGCTTATTTCCCATGTCCATCTCTGGGTTGCTCAAGCAAGGGATGGGGATGGACAGCTGGGTATTGGGCTTGACCGCCATGGAGGCGAGGAAAATTGACGCCTCCTGCTACTGATAAGGTGCGGCGTAATGTGGGATGCAAATAGGTAGGTTCATGGGGGCGGAAAGGGGGAAGGAGAGGGGGATCTCAGGTTTCAGAGTGGTGTTGTGCGAGGGTGTTTTTATGTGCTCCGGATCTGGATGAGAGAGAATAGGTATATTGGATTTCCTTTCTTTTGGCACGGGATGACGTGCTTCTAGATTATTCGTATTTACGGATACAATCGTGGGCTTTTTGTTACTCTAGCTTTCTCTCTGCCGTTTGCCCTGGGCACCCCCAATGGGGGCGAAGAGAATATACTACTCTGGTGTATCTGGGGATCGTTTTGTCTTTGGTATGTATTTTGGCTTCCCGCGGCCGCCCGGGTGATGGACCGCGCGGGAGACCCTGGGGACCTCTACGGACGGGACGGGGAGACGGGGAGGACGGGGAGGAGGTGAGCTAGATGGCTAGCTAAGGATCTAGGTGTGCTTGAGCCTTGGGAAGGGGGAAGCATAAGGCCGAAGTGGGTTTACCTAGGTGAGGTGTTGGAATGCGGCTGATGGGGTCTGGGTGATGAGGCTCCCTTGAACCCCTGCGGAGATCCCTCTCTCTTTCCTCGACACGCCTATCTAAGTGGCTACCTATTCAACTTCACCGTATTTTTCATGAGATTTGACAGAATTCTACCTTGGGCAGATGTGATGTGATATTTGGTGCCTTTAGGCTGCTTACGTTGGAACTCAAAGATTCCATCGGCTCCTTCCGGGGTCTATACAAGTGTTGCTTACTAGGTTGATGGTGGTGATGGTGGTGGTGGTGACGGTGACGAGAAAGGTGTGGGAAGCGTGATATTGGTGGCTGATGATGTAAACGCCATTCTTTGTGTGCTGACCGGGAGGAAGGGGGCTCCTATAGAAAGCTGTACGGCTAAAAACTTCGATACCACATGTTTATTTTTCTTATTTACAAGTTTGTGGCTTTTTTCCCCCTTCCCGTGTGCAGCAAGGTAGGTTTTTCTGTAAGCAGAAAAAGATGTTCAGGGTCCAATACGTGGCTCAAAGTTACCTTGCGCCATCTCGTCCTTCGGGGCGTTTTTACCATAGTTTGTGGACTTTGTTGGTTGCTATCAGTGTTTTATGTACGACATTGCATATACTTTGCTTTTTCTTTTTTTTTTTTACGGTTTTGCCCCCAGCTTCCATTGATTTTCCTCCTTTGGACTTTTTGGGAAACATGCAGTGCCCTGAATCGTCGTCGTTTATGCAGGCTTATCTGACAACATGCGTGTCACTACTCTCTCTGTCTATCTAGCCTCTTTTTCACTTTCGGTTTCTGTTCAGTTTTGGGCTGAAGTGTGTAAAGTGGGAAACGGGAAAGTTCACGTCTTATCTCATGAATCGGGGTGTTTGAGTAAGGGTCCATCTCAGATTACGCGCGGAGAATCCTGGGGGAGAGAGAGGGGGAATGAGGGCAGGGGAGGTAGCCAATGCTACATTGATCGGACGATTCCATCTACCCTTTCTGATTGTGTCTTTCTTTTTTACCTCGGTGATTTTGAACGATTTTAGATTGCGGGTTGCACCGATATTTGGGTGACCAACACGGAGCGGCGATTCGCAGTGGCACTTTAACACTCAAGGTCACCGGGTAGGCTCGTGGCAGGCCGTGGCAAGGTGAATAGAGGAAAAGCAAGGATCCATGTGGCAAGTTCGTGATGATATGCACGATGAGAGCATGATACCGAAACGGAACGGTAATCGGGAGGACGCGGAGTTTTTGGCACCAACCCACCAACACCCCCACTGAAAATCAGGGTCCTGGAGCGCAGGGGACTTGCAAGGTCAGAATGCGCACGCATAACAGGGGGAAACAAACAGGGGATTGGACCGGAGTTGTTGTCTGGAGACGTGTTTTCTGTGTTTGGTGGGAGAGGATGAGCTTCGTGCGGAGGTGGAGGTGGCGAAAAAAACGGAACCTGGAAATCGAGAAAGAAGAGGGCGAATTACCCAACTCGCATTGGCAGTGGTTCCGCTTGTCAAGTTGGACCCGTTGTCGATCATCCCCTTCGAGGCCGGAGAGAAACCCGCTTTTTGGGCGTGGGTTTTTTTACTTACATGTCGCATATGCTGCGTCTGCTTACGTACATGTTGCAGCGACGATCTCGGGAGTTCCAGAAGAGGGATTGCGGTGCATTCACTGTAAGTGGCTGAATAGGTGGAGGCCTGGAAGAGGCTTCTTGTACGCCCTTCTTACAGCACATTGTGTATCGTGGTCCTATCCTGTGGTGCCCTGAGACCCCCTTCCCTCGGTGAATGGATGCCGAGGAAAAGGGCTCGGACTGGGCAACTCGACTGACTACTTACGACCCCCGTGCCGATCATCCTCCGCGGTGCCGAGTTTAGTCAGCGAAGCGTAGTTGGAAAAATGCCGTCTGCCAGACCGCGTGGTGGTGAGTGGCTGAGCCGGGAGCCGGAGTGCGTAGGTGATCGCGCTGTGTGCAGTGTTAGTCTTATCCCGCCGGCGAGATGCATCGAGAAGACGTATGTTGGTGTAACGAGGCACGAAGCTAGTTTGAATTATCGATGAAATGGAGGGAAGTAAAGAGAGCGAGCGAGTGATTGAATGAGATAGCTACGCATCAGCTACGGAAAGACGGATCCGAGATATGTGCGCTGACGCAAAAGGGCGGGAGGCCGACGGGCGAGCAATGGAGGGTATGTTGCCTACATTGGAGATAGTTAATGGCGCAGCCAGGCGTGGGGGGCCCTATGGGGCCGTGCCATGGTTCCATGGCGGCTAGGCGGCTCTGGAAGGGCTTGGAGAATTCCTTGGTCGAAAGGGGTAGGTGTGAGAAGTGGCTGTTTATAACTTTAGGCGATTCCAAGTACAACTGATGTGTGTAGGTCTAGCAAAGCAGCTAGGGGAGAGTTTCTCACGTCTAGAGCGACCTGAGGAGGTAGACCTGACAGGAGTCTGAGGGTGTGGTTTAGACGGCAGGATGGTGTGCGCTTGTGTGGTGGTGGTGGTTTCTGTTATCATGGGCCTTTTGAGGGAATTCGAGTGTGTAACACATACGCCCGTAGCTTTATCTTGGACAATGGGGATTGGACGAGGTGAGCCATTGACCAATGAGACTGCTGGATATGGAAGCGTGCCCGTTCGGTGCGTCGTACACACTCTGTCGGGACGGATGGTGTGCTGTTCGATGAGGTTGGATAGCCTAGGGGAGGGAGCCGCAGTATCCTAGGACACTTTTTGGTCTCGATGGCATCGGCGCCGGGCGTGGGGACATCAAGAGACACCTTGTTTCCCTGGTTGTGGAGAATGATCTGGATTGTTTACTTCATATCTTGGGGAAATGGGGCGTGAGTTGAGTTCTTGATCAAGACATGGCTTGACGCCCCTCAAAGTTTGGGGGTCCTTATCTCACGGATACGCTACGTTACCATGCCCTGTGTCTGGGCTTGCAAATGTCTCCGACTCCCTTGCGTGACGCTTCTCCACGGGGAGAGGCGGAGAGAACGTGGAGATGGGAGGAAGTTTGGGGGTGGGTGGGATCAGTGAGACATTGATCTGGACTTGGGCTTTTGGTGGCTACCCGCTTGTTCCACCCGTTTGTCCAGCGACGTCTGTGTTTGTGTTTCTGTGCTACCAAACATGAGGGGTGAAAGGGGTGTGTGGCGTGAATGTGTGACGGTCTTTCGTAATTGTAAGGGATGATGATGGAATTCTGCGTGGATCTGATTTTCTGCCCTGAGCAGAGAGACTCGAGGAGTCAAGATTGACGACAGGCGTGTTTGTGTTGATCATCAACCTTTGGTGTCTTTGCACCAGTCATGTCTATGTGAAATAACGCCCTTTAGACGGTGATGGGGTGGTGGTATCTAGTGGTGCTTGCGTAGCTGTACGCATTGATGCCGACAGAGTTCGACCTTGGGAGAAAGGGCGCAACCTGAAGGTGGATAAGAGATTCCCATTCTGTAACAGTCGACGGCGTGTGAGGTTCGGTGACTGACTAGACGCTCGCATGTTTTCCCAAGTCATGGCTTACAAAGTGGTTGTCGTGTCGTACTTGCCTTTTGATAGGAAATTGTTAGTGACACCGACAGTTTCGAGTAGGCTCTTCTCACATGCGATTGAGAGTTGAGGGAACCCTGCAATCTTGATATAGAGGTTGGCATATGTAGCACTACTGACTCGAGGCTAACTAACGCTCCTGCCGCCGCGCGAGCGGAACCGTTGTATCAGTTACCCGGGATGCAGACCTTTTACGAGATGGAGGGCTACTTGATAAGTAGCCGCAGCTAAGGACGATGGAGCCTCACTAGGGTTGACGAGGCCAAGGAGGTAATGCTCTCCATTGGAGATGGAGATGATAAGACCGATTTAAGAGCGTCTTGGGAGTTCAAGTCTAGAACCCAATGATGCTACTTTCTACCAGGAAAGTTGTTGACAAAGTAGCGATATGTGATGTCGAATTTCGATGTTCAGGACTTTGACGCTTCAGGCTTGAGTCTTCGCATACAAAGAGTACTTATGTTAGTGAGATGGCAACTCTCTACTCTTGCTTTCGGACATGTTCAGCCAGGCAGCAGTCTTAACCTTCGTCCGGATTCTTGCTTAGACTGCGTCAGAATGTAAACGAGAAAGTAAGGTGATTGATCGAAGAGATGGTTTGTGGTGCTCAAGCAACAACTCAAGCTAATGGCCAGGATTTGAGGGACAGTCTCTTGTCCCTGC